TAATATTATTATTATTAATATGGAATGAGTGGATGCTACTAGTATGCCTAAACAACAAATGCCCAACATTACTTGTTAAAGGTCAAAGTCAGGACAGTCTAAAAAGTGACAGAATAAAAATAAAATATATTGTGACTTCTGCATACAGAAGAATAAAAAGACGAAGGAAATAAACTGCACACCCATAAAAAAACATGACAGCAGACTTCCAAGCAAACCTGAGCCGAGCAGCTCTGTTCAGAAAAATAAATAGGGGTCATATTGAGTCTGCCTCCATTACACATGCATGTGGACAAGACTTGTCAAGCTTTACCTCTGCAGATAGGCCGGTCATCACTCCAGCCTACATAGCTGTCTGTCACTCTGAGGCAAGTGATGCTCTTTGAACCCTGCAGTTCATAGCCCTCGTCACAGGAGAAATGCACAGTCGCTCCTCGCCTGCAGTCAGATTGTACGGAGAGAAAAAGAAAGAAAAAACAAAACAAGGTGAGATGTAGGAGAACCATGAAAATATGTTCACTAAGAAAAAAAAAGACAAACAATATACTTCCTGGCTGTGGTTTTCACAAGTGTCAAATTGCTGGATATAGATGACATCTATTTGTCTGTGTTACATGTGACCACTGATACAGACAATGGCTTTGACAGGAAACAACATCCCATAATCCCTATGGTAATATCAGCACCTCACAGAGGCAGCCTATTACTGGGCCCTGGATAAAATTGCAGGGGACCTGTAACTCTTCAGGCATACACAGTTCTGTTTTTTTATTATTATTATTATTATTTTTTGCTTTGGTTGCATGAGCTTAGCATTGATCAATGAGTTATCAGCTGAAGGAAATTTCAAAATGCAGTCGCTGATTTTATGGTTACACTCAGTAGCAGCTGCTTCAACTCACCGCTGCTCACAAACACCAGTGGACATTGTGAAGTCATAATTAAGAATGCAATGTCTTTTGGACTGGTAAAGATATATTAATAAGCTCTTTTTACACAAATCAGCGACAACATTTTAACACCTGGGTAATTCTGACCATTATGTTCTAAAAGCTTATTTTTTAAGCTGCTGTTGTGGACTGAGCCAATCAATGAGTCATCTCTTCAAGGCATTTTTACATGTGAGAGCAAGTTTGAATTATGGCCTAAAGGGCCTCTCATACATTCTGGCTAATGAATAAAACATATTTTATACATTTAAAAGTGCAATTACAATTCATCGCTTTACTAATGCACACTTGGAAATCATCTAAATAATTATATCATATCATATCATATATATATATATATATATATAT